GACGACTTAGGGCTGGATGGAATGTAGGCATAGTGAGACAATATATGGAGTTTTAGGGGGGAAACTGAGACTGAAATTGAGTTACATGGGGCATTTCAATAATTTAGCCAAGTTAATATGTGTGCTCACAAATAGTCCTTCTGTCAAAAACTTTGGTTTGTTGATGTGACATATATGTGGAGCCCATATATCCAATAATATAGTGCCTTAAAATACAATATATATTTGTTAAAAATAATTTAAATTTTAAAATACAACTTTTTCTTTGGTTTTTTCATTTTTTATTTTTATGAATTTTAAATTTTAAATTATTTTAAAAAATATATATTGTATTTTAAATACACGTGGCACTATATTATTGGATATATGTACTCCATAAATATGCCACATCAGCAAACTAATGGAGTTTTTGACAGAACTTGATGGCAATGACTATTTGTGAGCACGCATATTAATCTTGGGGACCACGAATGACACACAAAAACAAACAAGGAGTAATCTGATAATTTTGTAAACCTTATAGACGTTTTGTGATATAAAGCCTTTTAGAATAATCAAAGGGTCTATATCGTCAAGTTTCACTACCAAAAAAAGATTCGAAAAACTTTTCATGGGGCCCAACCACAAAAAAGATTTAAAAAAAGAAAGAACTTGTTTTCATCCTAAATTTATATTGATTCGAAAGCATAAAGGTTACAAATTTTTAATCGAAAACGAAACGAAAGAAGCTAAAGAGTTGGACCTGAATTTTCTTTCATCATTACAACTGGAAATGGATATGAAATTCAATGATTGAGAGAGAGACAGAGCATGATCTGTATCTTCTAGAGAAGTTTACTAGGTTAGAATGGTGGGTGGCAGAAGGCCCAAGCCCAATCACAATTAGTATTTTGGCATCAACATTAATTTGGGCCACTATTAGTATTTTTAATTTGGGCCAATATCAGGCTCAATCACTCTACTTTTCTTTAAAAAATGAAAAATAAACTCGGCTGATGCATAAAAAACACAGAAAATGGAAAAATAAAAAGATTCATGATTTGATTTGTGTGCGCAGTGGAAGCACTAAAAGAAATAGCAACACAAGTGGGAAAAAAAGACTGGAACTTCAGCATAGATCCATGCAGCAATGACACAAATTGGGCTAATCCAGAATATGATTACTGGGGCAACAACAACACTCTCATATGCAACTGCTCCTACCCTGATGGTTTCTGCCATGTTGTCAGCATGTACGTCAACTGAAAGCTTTTATTTGTACTCATTTTCTGTTTGTTTATTTATTGGTTTAATTATCTTATGTAGCATTTCAATCCATTTTTCATTATTTTTCTACGGAGAAGATTCAGAATGAACTCTTTATGTTCTTATGATCTCTGACATTTTTGTGATACAGTTTTCTTAAAGGGCAAGATCTTGCTGGTGTAGTTCCACCATCCGCTGCAAAGTTACCCTACCTAACAAGAGTGTAAGGGAAACCTTTCTCAGTTAATAATCTGCAAAGCTTAATAATAGTATAATTTTATTTTAATTTTATCTTTTTTACAGTAGTTTCACCAGGAACTACCTCAGTGGTACTATACCGCGTGAATGGGCTTCTACAAAGTTGGAATTTCTGTAAAATGATTTCTGACCTTCAAGTTCAAGGTTAGCCAATTCTAATTGCTTTTATTAATTTTACTAAGAAAATGAGGAAACTGCATGCAGGTCCGTGAATGTGAACAACTTATCAGGACCAATCCCTGGCTACTTGGGGAACATTAAAACTCTAATCCATCTGTATGCTCTGCCTCTATCTCTCTTGACCACCCTTTTTTATTTGTCAAATCAACTTTAAGTTTCATTTCGGTTAGCCTGCTGTGACGAAGAATTTAATTTCAGGGACTTGGGGACTAACCTGTTTTCTGGAACTCTTCCTCCTGAGCTTGGGAATTTGGTTAACTTGGAGAATTTGTAAGCTCCCTTTTTCTTTTGCATCCGCAGTTTCTTTTTAATATTAATGGTAAAGCAAGTTGCAGTGGATAAGTTATTAAGACTGGCCTTGGTATCTGCAGCATTCTCAGTGCAAACAATCTCACACGAGAATTGCCAGTGGCTTTTGCTAATCTGATTAAATTAGGAGAATTGTAAGTGTTTGTACTCTTAACATTGTTTTTCATGTTTGGAAATCTTCAGCTTTATGTTTTTCAATCTTTCCCTTCATGCAGTAGGATTAGCAGTAACAACTTCACGGGAAAAATACCTGATTATTTGGAAAATTTTAAACAAATTGAGAAATTGTAAGTGCCTTTACCTATATATAACATATTCTAACAACTCTTCTTGTGTAATCTTGATTGATTTTGAATTTTGTTGTTGACAGAGAGATCCAAGCTAGTGGTCTCAGTGGGCCCATTCCGTCTAGCATTTCTGTCTTGAGTAATTTAATAGTGCTGTGAGTTCTGCATTGCGTTAACACTAAAGAACCTTAATCCTGATTTGAAAATTTTATGATAACTTCATACCACAGTGACTTGTTTTTCTCACAATGATTCATGGTGAAATTCAATGCAGAAGGTTCAGTGACTTAAATGGAGGGGAATCAAAATTTCCAAACTTGAGTAATATGAGGGGCATGGAATACTTGTACGTCTTGAAACTGTTCTACATTTTCATGTTGTAATGTAAGACTCTTAGCTGAGTTAGGCTAATAATACGAAGTTGTGTTGCAGAATGCTGAGGAGCTGCAATTTATATGGACCTATCCCTTCTTATATATCAGCAATGGGAGATTTGACTACATTGTAACACTGTTGTTCTTTGTTTTTCATCTTGTGAAAATGCACAGCGCAAGTTGATTAGTGATAGTTTTTTCGTTCATTTAAGCTTCCAAGTAATGGAACTTTGGGATCTTATGAGTTATGACAATCTTTTTAGTTGATTTCTTGCAGAGATCTCAGCTTCAACAAATTGGAAGCAAATATTAATATTTCTGACTATGAACACGTGCAGTACTTGTAAGAAATGTGAATTTCATGAAGGTCACTAGCAGACATCATAATGCATGGCGGGGCGGCCTCCCCTGCCTATATGATATTTACATATATTAAATTACAACTCTATATTATATTTACATATATTTTACATAATATCATTATGCATTTGATAGGTATCTAACAAGCAACTGGCTCACCGGGTCTGTTCCAGAGTGGGGTCCATCCTATACAGATAATCGCTAGTATGTTTTCCATCCTATACAGATTTTTTTGAGTTTTATTTTCTTATTGAAGCCTGCGGAAATATATACTTTTAAGTTTGCGTAACGTTTATGCAGATAATATAGTTAGAAATATATCTTAACTGTTTAGAGGTCCTAGGTAGTCACATACAATCTATCTTAACTGTTTGAAACATTTAAAATTTAAAATGATCAACTTTTAGGATTTTTCTGTTGTGGAATTATTCCTTTAACCGTATTTACAATTTTTATTGATACTCCAAAATGCAACTTTTCTGGTGGAGCTGTTCTGACTTACAATTTTATTGTATTGTATGCAGCCTGACAGATATTTCTTACAATAATTTTTCTGAGAGCTCTGAGCCAACTAATAATTGCCGAGAAACACTGTAGGAACATATTTCTAGTTAGTGATTATTTAGCACACTTTGGTGTCTTCATTCACCTATAATAATGCATTTTTCTTTGAAATATTTATCAGAAACCTGTTTAAAAGCTTTTCTGCACAAAGAAACTTGTAAGCTTCTAAACTTTTAATCTTCATTGGTGAAGCCATTTTTTCCCTTTCCATATATTCTGGACTTTAAATTTGCATCAGCTGATTGTGTACCACACTAATGTAGAGAGTGCTGGAAGAACTTTCCATGTCCAGAAGAAGGTAACAATACAATACAACAGGGCTTTGCTTTTTTAATTATTTAATATTTTAAAGTTCTTGTAAAAGAATTAGTTCAGAATTTAAAGTTCAAGTGACATTCACAGAAACTGGTTTACAATCAATACAATACTTTCTAATTTGTTTTTTATGTAGTCAAATATTTGACTTCATCTGATTAGAATTTTTATGATGTCATTTCTCTGTTGCTTGCTACTGAATAGATCATTCCTCGTTGCATATAAATTGTGGTGGAAAAGAAACCACCATTGGAGGAGTCACCTTTGAAGAGGATCAAGACCCAGGAGGTGCAGCAACATTCGTTCCTCGGAGAACTATCTGGGGAACCAGTAGCACTGGAGATTACTGGGATTCTTACTCCTTTGATACAGACTACATTACAAATAATGTATCTATACTTACAATGAACAACTCTGAGTTGTACACAAGTGCACGCTTCTCTACTCTTTCTCTCACGTATTATGCACGCTGCTTTCGAAACGGCAATTACACCGTGAAACTTCACTTTTCGGAGATAACGATCAGAGGCAATAGATCTTTTCGTAGTGTTGGAAGACGGATATTTGATATTTATATTCAGGTAGTCAAGCATACTGTTTGTACACTATATGCAACAAAATATGATTTCTGATTGATAAGTTTGTTACAGGAGAAACTGGTGTGGAAGGATTTTGAAATTAAAAAGGAAGCACACGGCGTTGATAAAGAACTCATTAAGGAACGTAAAGCAGTTGAGGTTAAGAATAAAACTTTAGAGATCCGATTTCATTGGTCTGGGAAAGGGACAACAGCTTCTCCAAAGAGAGGAACATATGGTCCTCTTATATCTGCTATCTCTGTAGAGCCTGGTATATTCTGAATTGGAAACATTAACTCTCCCTCATGGACACAATCTTAAGTTTGTTTAAAAAATTTATTATATCCCACTTGTTCGTACTCGTTCCATACGGGAAATGTACCGAAAATACAAGTATGTTAATTGCAATAGATTGGAAAATATATAGTACATCAAGTACAGTATACTAATGGAAGAAGTACCCAGATGGAAAGTTTGTTTACCTTAAATAACAAGAAACTGTGCAATTTATCTTTTTCTTTTCGATCTTTCTATCTCAATTTGGTCTTTACAACATCCTACAAGATACTGCTATGAATTGATATACCGGACCTATGACGGCATCTCATAGAACTGAAACTTGTATTCTCTGTTGCTGATCTTTTCTTTTCACTTTTTTATTTGCTAGAGTTCAAGCCTCCTCATGGTAGCAAAAGCAAGGTACCTATTGTAGTGGAAGTTTCAGTTGGAGCTTCGGTCTTGTTCCTCATTTTCCTGATTTTCGGCATTCTTTGGTGGAAAGGCTGTCTGGATAGCAAGATATCTAGGGAAAAAGGTGCCACTAAGTTACTGTGAAAATTTCAAGTAGTACTCATTCTTTATAATGTCATGTAGCTAGAAAACACATACCCGGATACTAAGTTCAACGACATTACCAATATATTCTAACCTTGTTTTGTGGATAGCTCTGAGAGGACTGGATCTGCAAACTGGTTTTTTCACCTTCAAGCAAATTAAAGCCGCCACTAATAACTTTGATCCTATAAACAAAATCGGTGAAGGCGGTTTTGGATCTGTCTACAAGGTACCATATAACTAGTTCCTTACTTATAGGCCTTACTTATCATGCTTGAAAACTACTAAACTGTATTTATTTCAGGGTATATTATTGGATGGTACTATAATTGCAGTTAAGCAACTATCATCCAAATCAAAGCAAGGAAATCGGGAATTTGTGAATGAAATAGGCATGATTTCTGGTTTACAACATCCAAATCTTGTTAGATTGTATGGATGCTGTATTGAATCAAACCAGTTACTGTTGGTATATGAATACATGGAAAACAACAGCCTTGCACGTGCTTTGTTCGGTAAGCTAGCTTGTCAAGTCCAGTGACAAAAAACTGAAATGATGTATAGAAAAACAAAAATGAGATCATTGATTGGGAATCCATGTTTGTTGCAGTTCCGGAGGAAAGTCCTTTAAAATTGGACTGGCCTACAAGGCAGAAAATATGCATAGGCATAGCAAGAGGTCTGGCTTTTTTACATGAGGAATCAGCACTGAAGATTGTACATAGAGACATTAAAACTACAAATATATTACTAGACCGAGACCTTAACTCCAAGATCTCGGACTTCGGGTTGGCCAAGCTTGACGAAGAGGAGAACACCCACATTAGCACTAGAGTTGCTGGAACTATGTAAGCTATACTGTTTTTTTCTCTGAACTGCATTTCAGAGCATAGTTTTGTTTATGACCTTTTCTCCACCCAGCTAAGGAAAACAATCGTTTTTTGTGTGCAGAGGATATATGGCGCCAGAATATGCACTATGGGGTTATTTGACCGATAAAGCAGATGTCTACAGCTTTGGTGTTGTTACTGGAAAGAGCAACATGAAATATCGACCAAATGAGAACTTTGTATGCCTTGTGGATTGGGTAAGATGGATCTTCATTCAAATTCCTTCCAACTTGGTCATCCTTCTTTCCTTCTATGAGTTGCTTTTCCATTTTCAAATCTCTTTTCTCTGCTAAATTTCAGGCTCTTGTTTTACAACAAAAAGGGGAATTATTGGAGCTGGTGGATCCAAGGTTGGGGTCCGATGTGAGTGAGGAAGAGGCCATTAGGATGATTAAAGTTGCTCTCTTATGCATCAATGCAGCACCAGCGCTTAGGCCTACCATGTCTGCAGTAGTGAGTGTGCTTGAAGGGCGTACGGCTGTTCATGAATTGGTCACGGATCCAAGTACTTACAGTGATGGACTGAGGCTAACAGCCTTGACAAACCAGTTTGATCACAATTCATCACAGAATCAAAGTCAAACTCAGAGCCTTATTCTTTCATCATCAGATGCACCATGGATTGGTTCTTCTGCTACTACTACATCTTCTGATCTCTATAAAATCAATCCCAGTACTAGTTCTTGCTAATGTACTCTAGGCTAGCCTTTAATGATGAGATTCTCTGCAGTTTCATCAATAGCTGAAGAAAGAGCTGTAGATTTCTCTAAAGAATACAAATTGAGTACAATTTTAGAGAAAAGGAAAAATAACCAACGACAACAACAAATGTTTGCTGCCCAACTCTTTATTTTTCTTTCTCTCTGCCAACTTCTCTCTCTGCAGCTCTGCTCTTCTCAATATATCAAATGCTGGCTGCATGCTTCTCACTTATAGCCAAGGAAGTTGGCTCTTCAAACAAACCAAAGGTCAAAGGCCAACCATGAACGATTGTCTCCCATTTCATTTTTGTCAGCCAATCAAACCAACTACTCATTTGCACTTTGCTTTCCACCTTCTGCCAATTCACTTTGTCTAACATTAGTGCTCCAATATTAACAATACAATAAGGCAGCTATAGTTTTTCAAATAAACAAAGTCACCGAAAGCAACATTGCTTTTGAGACAATAGTCAACATGAAGGGCGTACGGCTGTTCATGAACTGGTCACGGATCCAAGTACTTACGGTGTTGAACTGAGGCTAACAGCCTTGACAAACCAGTTTGATCACAATTCATCACAGAATCCAAGTCAAAGTCAGAGCCTTATTCCTTCATCATCAGATGCACCATGGATTGGTTCTTCTGCTACTACTACGTCTTCTGATCTCTATAAAATCAATCCCAGTACTAGTTCTTGCTAATGTAAATGCTAAGACTCAAGATTTTACATTGGAAAAATAGCATATCCTAGAGTGGTTTATGAGCTCTTAAACATTATTTTCTTACAAGTCGATTTTTAGAGGCAAGTTCTACCCATGAACTCTCCACAATAAACATTTCTTCGCGCTTAACTACGCAAATGCTCGTGTAATGATAAACTAACTAGTAGTAGTACATATCTTTTCAAATAAAAATAATGGGTTTTTACAAATACATAAAGATCAAGCTCTATCTCTAAGTGACAAAGCTGAGCAAAGTGGGGAAAAAAGTCATGAATTTTTAAGTGATTCAAAGCCCTTCAACTTTTACGTACGATACAATTGT